TTTTCCTACTTGCTTCTCTCCTTCTCTCTCTCTCTCTCTCTCTCTCTCCAACGTCTTATTCTTGTTCCTACCGTTTTCAGCAATCTTGCGTTTCCATCTATTGTCTCGGAGCGTCATCACTTCTTCTCCTTGATTTTCCCGCATAGTACGATAAAACACGTATCTATTTCCATAGCCGTATGTCCCGATATTTCTGCCAATGCTTGTATTTCGCGACGGATAAGTGCTCTTGCAACCTGTGTTCCGTGAAATATTTCCTAAAACTGCGAAGATGCAATATTTATCAATATCAATTTTTAAAAGATTCTTTTCTTTTCTATTTTTTAAATCGGATATTTAAAAAAATCGTATTACGCGCACATATAAAAATTGATTTGTAAATTTGTATTCCAAAAATTGACGTACGATCAATTGCGCTGTTGCGAAGGATTAGTGATGTGATTCATCGTTGCAAAAATTTGATAATTAAGCGAGTTTGGGGGAAAGTTGAGCTTATATTTCGAAATATAAATGCACGCTGTGACGAAAGAGGAAGAGGGAGAGAAAGAGAATAAATACTCGTATAAAAGTGTTGAAAAGTACCCTCCTCTTCCTCCCAAAATTCTTTTTTCCCTCTGGAACATTGTTTTATCACGGCTATTTGAAATTGTATAAAATTACACAGCCTGCGGGCTATTTGTACCGCAGTCTTGCATTGTTTGTGGATAAAATTAGAGCAGGCAGACGTATTTTTTAATGTTAACTGCGATTAAAATTAGTTAAGAGACAGAATTTCGAACGATCTTTCTCTCAAAGCAAAACAGATTACTAGAAATTCGTGATTTATCTTTAGAAAAATATTTTAAAACAATGATCCTTTTTTAATTAAAAAAAAAAAAAGAAAAAGATAAAGCTATAATCCTACTAAATTAAATATTCAAGTTTCTCCATAATATTATTTCGATATTATTAAAAATACGATGCAATATATGTGTAGCAGATACACGTATAATGGCCACACTTGTACACTATTTAACCAGAATTTCTGACTGGAGAGTAAGTTCTCTATTGTTATGGTATTGTTATTCCGTTATTCGAGCTAGCACATTTACTATGTACATCATGTCTGAAATTCCAACGAAACACGATGCTCTTCTAGTAGTTTCATCCAAACTTGGATCGATGTTCACGGTCGTGTCGCATATTTGTTTGCAACTGCTGGAAGGAAGTTAACGATAAACAGAATGGTTGAATGTTTTGTTCTTTATTATAATATCGTTATTACAAATTTGAAAGGAAAAGAAAAAAAGGAAGCATTCTGGATTTCGAGATCTCTTTTTCTTTTAATCGCTTCGATTGTTTTGCTCGATATTTTAATTGTATTATTGAAATGTCGAACATTCTAACTGTCGATAAACACACACTTCGTTAAAATATAGCTTTATTGCACGAAATAATATTGGTTTGTTTCAAAAAGCAATAATTTTTAAAGTTATATATAAAACAATATTATAATATATAATTCTCGCATGCATAGTTTCTAGGTTATAACGTACTGTGTACTAAATACTAACAAGATTCACAGCGAAATAATTATCTGCCAGTATAATTATTCAGAACATTCGCGTTATATTTTTTTTCACTTTAAATTTTCTAAATTTCGTATCTTCATTTACTTTCCAAAAATTATTACGGAAACCTCGTTTGTATCAACGTTTGCAATTACGGAAATATTTGAAACGGTTAAAGTTTCACTCTACAGTATCCTGAACAGCCAGCGCAATCTATCTTTCTTTATGTGACGTTACTGATCTATCAAGTCGCTTTATCCCACACGTTTATGAACTTTTTTTGGTTAAATCTTTCTTCAAAAGAAAGGATTTAAATCAAACAAATATTAGTCTAAAGTAAAATAACGAACGATATCCCTATATCTTTGATCACAATTAACCAATAATCTCTATTATTACAAATCAATGATTTAACTTCGATTTCGCATCACAAAAACTAATCTTTTTTTCATTAATCAAATATCCTTTTTAAAATGTTAAAACGCATTGTTATCATCGTTATAAAAAAAAATAATAATAGATGAAGAATCGGATTTCGAGCAGTAGTTCGAGAGTGAAAATGACAGATCTTTGATAAATTACGAATTAAAGATCGGAACGATACTATTGGCCGACTACGTATACGTATAATTGAAAAATTGATTTCGGATATAAATGAACATTAAGCTCAAGAATTTAATACCATTCGATGAAAAAGTAAAAGTTCGTACGGATTCTCTCTCTCTCTTTCTCTCTCTTCCTTCTTTTTTTCTCTCTTTGTCTCTACTCCCCCCCTTTCCTGATTTATCAGTAGGCAATACCACTTTTCTGTCCAACTGTCGAACGTAAAGCGGATTCTCCCGTTAAGCAGATGAGAATTCAGAGACGATGCGAACGCGGTAATGCACCTCTCCCCATCATACATCGGTAGCAAACGGAAGAGGAGGCGCGTGAATCGAGAATAAGACTGAATAAAAAGAGATGGAATAGGCGGGTGAAAAACCTCGGAGAAACGAGAGAATTTGAGGTTAGGCGAATGAACGAATATACGAGAGGTCGTTTATCGAGTGAAAATAAGAACCGTCGGTTATAAACGCACGAAAGGAAAGAAAGAATAATAATAGTGTGGAAAATTGAATAGGATTAATTGAATGAACAATAACCGTTGTTTTTAATTAATCGCGTCTCTATGATTAAACGTACGCGGGAAAAGTTTTTTCCTCTTCTTTCGAAACCGCATCGTTTTGATTCGGAACAATGATTCTCGAGAGAAATTCCCTAGAGGATATGTCGTACCAACAGCTAATTCCATCGGGAAATTTCTATACCGATATTTATGACCGAACCCATTATTTCGAGATGATTCCACAAAATTGTGTGCGCAAATCAATTGCCGTGTAATTTATGATTTCGAACGGAATTATGGACACGTGAATTGTACGTTAGAGAGATATAGGTGTGCAATTATGTGCTCATCGTACACTGTAATGAGCGGACACGCATCTATCTTTTCGATTAATGTATCATCAACGTTTTAACAAATAATATTAGTACGAGATTGTAATTTAATTTCGCTACCAGGCTTGTAGGATGCGTGAATTATTAAACGTATGGAAATAAATTAATATAAATTATTAACATTTTCTATGTATTATATTTCTCAAAGATTACTTTATACAGTGTACAAGTAAATATCAAATGTTTGTAAATATGCGTTACGCGTTTAATTTAGAAAATTATTTATCATTTTATCGATTCGTTATTAGGATGTCTATTTTTAATGGAAATTAAACGACGATCTAATTCTTTTGCATTTTTGACTTCACCCATACACTATAGACGTGTAAGTATTATTTCATTAAAGTTTCGCCTCTTGTCTCTTCATGCTTATGCGCTTTCGCATAACAAGAATTTTAATTTCTCGTTTATGAAAAACTATGAGACCGTCCGGATTTAAATTCTTAAAAAGGAAAGCGGAAATTATAATAATTGATTACAATAATATTACTATGATAAGAGATTTTCGTAATCCGTATGGAAAAAATCGCATCGAATTGAAAATATACGGGAGATAAATTCGAAAAAAAATTGGAAAATCAAATCGAATCGAATCGAATCAGCGACTTACGGTCCATCCTGGCGGAAATTGAAAAAATATTTACTGGATAATATTTTTACTGGATCTTGCGCCTGTTTCGGATTTCATCTCTAGAAATAAAATATCATATTTACTTCGTTACTATTAAAATACATTTTTCAATTATAAGAATCAAAACCAACAAAAAAAAAAAAGAAAAAAGAAAGGCCTATGATAATAAAGATCTCTTCTTCGAATTTTTGACGAGTCTCAAATATTTGATCGAGAATTATTTACCAAGAGTGTTAATATCGGGGGAGGAGGAGAGGGGAATCCTATTCAAACGTACTCTTTCAATCGTGTAAAAACGACAAAAAAGAGCCGCAACTAGTTCGGTAATCGCGAAAAAAAATTGCTTGCAATAATAAAAGTCACTCTTCGAATTCGAGGTTATCTCAAATATTTGATCGAGAATTATTTACCAGGATCGTTAATACCGGAGGAAATGAATTTCAAATATTTGATTGGATATTATTTACCTAGGAACGGATAAGAACGAGTCTTTTTCTCATCATCATCGTCACACACGAATCGATACAGCAAAAGGAAAGTTTAAAACATCGTTCTCGCGATCCGAACACGCATAATTACCAACAGAGCTTGCCCGTCTTACTTGGCGCTCGAGTCGGCTCTTCTCTTCTAGGTTAAAGGAGGAAACGAACGAGGCGAAGGAAAAAACAGAAAGGCATCCACCAAGGGAAGAGCGGGTTATTAAAACGTTTTCAAAGTCTCTCTCTCTCTCTCTTTCTCTCTTTCTCCCTGTTTCTCTCGTAGAGGGTAGAGAGGCTCGGTTCGTTGAAACAATAGCCACGCTAGCTGCCGATTGTCACCGACTTGGCGAATCTCGTCCCTACCTCGGATCTCGTTCGCTCGAATTCTGAATCACCGTGCTGTCACAGATCCTGAATGGCAGCCCGTAGAGGCGACGACTCGATGCTGCAGGAAGCTCATTAGGCACAGCTCGGGGCATTTTCTGGCCCTTGCCTCCTAGACTTCGTCAATTTTTACCCTACCCTACCCTACCCTTCTCTTCCCGTCTCCGCCTCACCTCACCGCCCTCCACACAGAATCTCTTCGTATGTAAGCATCGAGTATACATATATAT